CTCTCCTCTCCTCTCTCCTCCCCGCTCTCCTCCCCTCTCTCCTCCCCTCTGCTTCGTTCCCCGCGCCCCCTGCCTACTCCTCTCTCTCCTAGCTCCTCTCCCACAGCCAATAGCAGCAGTCCCGTTCTTGGCACGTTCAATAGCTGGAGCTCCTGTCTTGCTGTCAACCTCTCCCCCTCCTCCGTTCCCACCACCACCTCCTTTAGCAGCAGCAGCAGCAGCAGCAGCAGCAGTAGCAAGAGTGATTCCGATGTTGGTGGTGGTTGTGGTGGGAGTGAAAGGTGTGCAGGTGTTGGGATGGGTTTGAGCCACACACGGGCTAGTGAACGAAACGATTCTATTGATGTTCCTAAGAGTGTTTCCGATGTTCATGTTTTGGAAGGAGGTGGTTGTGGTGGGAGTGAGTTCAGAGAAGGGAGTGAGGAGGAAGGGAGTGAACTGGAATCGCTAAGTCCAGATTCGAGCTGTTTTATTGAAGGGAGGAAGGAGAGAAGAGAGGAGAAAGGAGGAAGAGGGGGCAAGAAAGGGGGACGGGTGGAAGGAAGAGGCTTCAGACGCAGCTTTTCTTTTGAATCTCCCCCAGAGGCCTTTACAGCTGCTACTTCAAGAGATGTTTTTGCTGCTGATTCTGCTTCTGCTGCTGCTGATGCCACTGCTACTGCTTCTGCAGATTCTGCAATTTCTCCTTGTAGCGTTGGTGCTGCTGCTGCTGCTGCTGCTGCTGCTGCTGCTGCTGCTGCTGCTGCTGCTGCTGCTGTTTCTGCTGCTAATGCACCTACCAGTGCTGCTACTAACAAATTTCCTCGACGCACAGTCCGCAGCAGCTTCGAGTTTGGTTCGTCACTCCCAGGTTCTGCAGACATAGGCTCGGCAGATGGAGGTGATGGAGGTGTGGAACTCGGAGGCTCGGGCCAAACCTCAGGGCTTGGGCAAGGCACGGGTGGGCTCAGTACCGGAGGTTCGGGAACGCCGAGGGAGGTTCATTGGGGCAGTAAAGCAGGGCGGCGTTTCTCGTCCTTTTCTGGTTACTTGGAGCTGAGGGATTGTGGTGGTGGAGGAGGTGGAGGAGGAGGAGGAGGAAGAGGAGGAGGAGGAGGAGGAGGAGGAGGAGGAGGAGGAGGAGGAGGAGGAGGAGGAGGAGGAGGAGCAGGAGGAGGAGGGTTGACGATACGGGCAGCAGCAGCGGCCACAGCAGGGGAAGCAGCAGGAGGAGCAGCAAGAGGGGACACAGGGGTGCCCAAGTCTCATCGAGATGGGGTGGTGAGGGGAGGGGGGCAGAAAGAGGCAGTAGCAGAGGCGATGGCGAGACACAACGAGGCCCTGCGCTTGAGCTAGAGTTTCAAGGCACCTATTCTAAGCAGCACAGAGTCGACAGGAGGAGTGCTCAAGTCCCCAAGAGGGGGGGGCGCGAGGGGAGGGGGGCAGAGAGAGGCAGCAGCAGAGGCAATGGCAAGGCACAACGAGGCCTTGCGCTTGAAACGAGCGGCTCATGCTCACTCCGGTGCTTCTGATTCTTGAGTCGACTCAAAAGTCACCTTCTACGGCTAACTCTGCTGCTGCTATTGCTGCTGCTTATTCTTCTGCTTCTGCAACGGCCACAACAGCAGCAGCAGCAGAGGCAGCCCCGGCGGCGGCAGTAGCGGCGGCAGCAGCAGCAGTAGCAGCCAGAGCAGCAGCAGCAATTCCCGCCTCACCAGCAGAGGCAGCCCCAGCCTACCTCCCCAGCCCCCTCTCACAGATTCCCAAAACCTTCTCGGCAGTTTCTCACCTGTTGCATTCCTCTGGGCTCGGCTTGTGGCTCTCTCCCGGACCTTGCCCTGCTGGTTCGGCTGCTCACACCCCTGCTGGTTTGGCCGCTCACACCCCTGCTGGTTCGGTTGCTCACACTCCTGCTGGTTCGGTTGCTCACACCCCTGCTGGTTAGGCCGCTCACACCCCTGCTGGTTCGGTTGCTCACACTCCTGCTGGTTCGGTTGCTCACACCCCTGCTGCATCTGATGATGAGAACAGACCTCGCAAGCAGTGGCCTGCTAGGCTTGGCCAAATGGGAGATCACCAGCAGCAGGGGCAGCAGCAGCAGCATCTGAGGTAGCAACAGCAGGGCCAACAGCAGCAGCAGCAGGGTGGTAGGTTAAAGAAAGTATTTGATTGCGATACTTTGATTATCTTAGCGCAGTAATTCTATATTGTTGTATTACTGTAGCACGCATCTGATAGTGAATGTAAATGTGGAGCGCGAATAGTCTCATGAGTCGTGTGATGCTACAGTAGATATACCGTTTTTTGATCTCCTCCATTAACATAGTAATTCATGTTCTTAGGAGAGCACCCCAGCATTAGCAGCAGAAGCAGCAGCTCTTGCAGAAGCAGCAGCATTAGCAGCAGAAGCAGCAGCGGCATTACCAACAGAAGCAGAGGATTCCTTAGGTGCCTAAAAAATCGGTAGCAGCAGAAGCAGCAGCAGTATTACCAACAGAAGCAGAGGCCCCGGAGTGAGCCTGTGCCCGCTCGCTTCAAGCACAAGGCCTCGTTGTGTCTCATTGCCAGCTTTGCAAAGCAGCGGCTTGAACAAAGCACACACAAATTTCGTTACAAAAACCGACTTCAAATGTACAGTACCACTATTTGTTAACTCCCTTATGTGCAAATAATGTCCCACAATCTGATGGTAGTGCAATTTCTGATGTTAGTACAAATCAAGGTTGCTTGCACCCACGAAGCCTACATGCTGAGTTAATGAATTGTGGACGGGCAATGCGGCGCATAGTTAGCTGTCAAAACATGCGGTTCCCTCCTTTAGGAGTCGCCCCCCAACCAGAATCATGCACTCGTGCGTGCACTCAGGATCGTCCTCCAGATCATCATGCACCCACGACGCCTGCACCCCCTGCTGCCTCAGAACGCTGCTGCTGCCTCCCCTCCCTTGAGAGTGGCAACCCAACCAGAATACTCAGGATCATCCTCAGGGTCATCATGCACCCACGACGCCTGCACGCTGCTCCCCCTGCTGCCTCAGAACGCTGCTGCTGCCTCCCCTCCCTTGAGAGTGGCAACCCAACCAGAATACTCAGGATCATCCTCAGGGTCATCATGCACCCACGACGCCTGCACGCTGCCCCCCCTGCTGCCTCAGAACGCTGCTGCTGCCTCAGAAGCCTGGTGCTGCTGCTACCGCCCCTCCCTTAAAAGTCGCCCCCCAACCAGAATACTCAGGATCATCCTCGGGGTCCTCATGCACCCATGACGCCTGCACGCTCTCCAGGTTCGGCCGGGCCACCCCGAGCTGTCAATTCATATTAGAACCTACTGCTTCTGCTTCTGCTTCTGCTTCTGCAGCTGCTGCTGCTCCTTCTGCTGCTGCTGCTGCTACTTCTGCTTCAGAAGCCTTGATTTCCCTCCCTTGGGAGTGGCACCCCAGCCAGCATACTGCCGCTGCCCTGCTGCTCCTTCAGAAGCCTGGTGTTGCTGCCTTCCCTCCTTAAGGAGTCGCCCCCCAACCAGAATGCTCAGGATCGTCGTCGGGGTCATCATGCACCCACCACGCCTGCACGCTGCGGCACGAGGGGCAGGCCTAAAAAACCTGTTGCTGCCTCAAAAGCCTGTTGCTGCCTCAGAAGCCTGGTGCTGCTGCTGCCTCCCCTCCCTTGGGAGTCGCCCCCCAACCAGAATACTCAGGATCGTCCTCAGGGTCATCATGCAGCCATGACGCCATCTGAGGCACGAAGAGCAGGCCTCAAAACCCTGCTGCTGCCTCAAAACCCCGCTGCTGCGACCTCAAAACCCCGCTGCTGCTGCCTTCCCTCCCTTGGGAGTCGCCCCCCAACCAGAATACTCAGGGTCATCCTCGGGGTCATCATGCACCCACGATGCTTGCACGCTCTCCAGGTTCGGCCAGGCCACCCGTGCCCGACCTCTCACTCCTCCCGATCCCAGCCCTCCAGGGGCCAGCACCCTTTGATTCGCTCCACATATTTTCCCCTGTACCTGCTCCCCCAGCTGCTGCTGCCCCTGCTGCCTCTGCTGCTGCTGCCCCTGCTGTCCCTGCTGCTGCTGCCTCTGCTGCTGCTGCCCCTGCTGTCCCTGCTGCTGCTGCTGCTGCTGCTGCTGCTGCTGCTGCTGCTGATCTCCCATCCGGCCAAGCCTAGCAGGCCGATGCTTGCGGGGGCTACTCTCATCATCAGATGCAGCAGGAGTGTGAGGTGCCGAACCTGCAGGAGTGTGAGCAGCCGAACCAGCAGGGCTAGCTCCGGGAGAGAGCCACGCCCCAAGCCCAGATGAATGCAGCAGGTGAGAAACTGCTGAGAAGGTTCCGAGAATCTGCGAGAGGGGGTTGGGGAGGTAGGCTGGGGCTGCCTCTACTGTTGAGGCGGGAATTGCTGCCGCTACTGCTCTGGCTGCTACTGCTGCTGCTGCTGCTGCCGCCGCTGCTGCTGTTACTGCTCTAGCTGCTGCTTCTGCTGTTGCTGTTGCTGTGGCCTTTGCAGCAGCAACACCGTTTGCACTGGCATCAGCAGCAGAAGCAGCAAAATTAGCAGCAGAATAAGCAGCAGAATTAGCAGCAGAATTAGTAGCAGAATCATCAGCAGCATTAGCAGAAGCAGAAGCAGCGGCCTGAGCCTGCGCCGCTCGTTTCAAGCGCAGGGCCTCGTTGTATCTCGCCATCGCCTCTGCTGCTGCTTCCTTCCCACTCCCTCCCGTCACAGCCACCTCTCGAGGCAACTTGGGTACGCCTGTGTCCCCTCCTGCTGCTGCCCCTGCTGCTTCCGCTGCTGCTGCCCCTGCTGCTTCCGCTGCTGCGGCTGCTGCTGTTCCTCGTGCTGACAGCCCTCCTCCTCCTCCTCCTCCTCCTCCTCCTCCTCCTCCTCGAGGGGACTTGGGTGCCACTGTGTCCCCTCCGGCTGCCCGTGGGAAGTTGAGGCTTTTGCTGAGAAGGCCTTGAATGGGAGGAGTCCAAGCTACAATGTCCCTCCTGCCTGCCCCCCGAGGCGACTTGGGTACCCCTATACCCTCCGCTCCTCTGGTGGGAGATTTGATCCCGGTGGGAGATTTGGCACCTGTGGAAGATTTGACACCGGTGCGGTAGGATCTGGCAAGGCTGCCAGACCCATAGCTGGTACTCCTACCGATATTCTCCCTCATGTCCTTGCTCAAGCTATCTCCGTCCCTAATCCTATCCATACTCCCACCAGTGACCGTACCGATGCTCCTGCCAACGCCTGTGCCTCTGCTGCTGCTGCTGCTGCTGCTGCTGCTGCTGCTGCTGCTGCTGCCGCCACCGATTGCCACTCGCCGCACCTCATCTACCTTTCCCTTCCCTCCGTTGCCCTCTCCTCCTTCCCTTCCCACCCCTTCTTGCCCATTCCCTTTCCCATCCTTCTCCCTTTGACCTTCTTCCACTCCCCTTCTCCCTCCTCCATCCATCTCTATTTCTGCACCCCCTCCCTTCACCCCAGAAGCAATCGGCACTGCTCGTGGAGACAGCAAGCTTGGAGGCTCCCCTCCTCCTCCCCCTCCCCTCCTTCCTCCATCCCCCCTTCTCTCTCCTCCCCTTCCTTTCACCCCAACTGCAAGCATCGCTACTCTAAGTGACAAACCCCCTTGCTCCTCTCTCTCTCCTTGGCTCCTTCTCGCCCAACCGCTAGAGCCCTCCTCTCTACCCCCTCTGCTCGCTATCCCCTCTCTTCTCCCTCCCTCCCTGCTCTCCCCCATATCCCACTCGTTCAATCCAAAGTCAAGGCCGGAAAACGATTTGGTCTGCCTGTGCCTGGGCTTGCCACTGCCCCCACCACCTGAAATTTCACCTGCTGACACCCCACCACCTGAAATTTCACCTGCTGACACCCCACCACCTGAATCCTCACCGCCCGAAACCCCACCACCACCAGCAGCACCACCAGGAGCAGCAGCAGCAACAGCAGAACCCCCCGTGTTTCCCCTTGCGACAGCAAGCCGTGCTTTGCTGGCCTGCACACCCTCTTCTCGTCCCACCCCCTCTTTCCGTGCTCCCCCCTCTTGCCCTTGCTTTGCCCCACCACCCTTGTTTCCCCTCTCTTCCTGTCCAGGTACATTGAACCTGACCTCTTTTGGCTGCGCCTCAATATCCGTCTGTCTAGGTGCATTGAATCTGACCTCTTTTGGCTGATCCTGAAAACATGTCTCTCCATTTGCAATCAAGCTAAAGTCAAAGTCAGAAAACGACTGGCATTGCCTGTGCCTGGACTTATCACTGCCCCCACCACCTGAGATTTCACCTGCAGATATCCTACCACCAGAAACCCCACCAGCAGCACCAGCAGCAGCAGCCTTTGCAATCCCTGTTCTTCCCTTTGGGATGGGAACCCGTACATTGCTGGCCCTCACACCCTCTCCCTGTCCCCTCCCCTCTTCTCGCCCCACCCTCTCTTGCCATACTGCCTTGTTTTGTCCCGAATCATACCCGCCACCCGACCTCCCTCTGGCTTCTTGTCCAGGTGCATTGAACCTGGATTCTTCTTGCTGATCCACCACGAGAAATGCCTGTTCAGGTGCATTGAACCTGGACTCTTCTCGCTGATCCTCAAGAAACGTCTCTCCAGGTGCCATCGAGCTGAAGTCAAAGTCAGAAAACGACTGGCATTGCCTGTGCCTGGACTTACCACTGCCCCCACCACCTGTAACTCCACCTGCTAACACTCTACCACCTGAATTTTCACCTGCTAACACTCTACCACCTGAATTTTCACCTGCTAACACTCTACCACCTGAATTTTCACCTGCTAACACTCTACCACCTGAATTTTCACTTGGTAACACTCTACCACCTGATTTTTCACCTGCTAACACTCTACCACCTGCTGATACCCTACCACCAGCGGCAGGAGCGGCAGGAGCGGCTGCACCAGCAGCGGCTGCTTTCAAAATCCCAGTTCTTCCCTTTGGGATGGGAACCCGTGTATTGCCGTCATTCGCACCCGCTTCCCTTCCCATCCTCTCTTCTCTTCCCTTATCTTCTCGTCCCATCTTGCCTTGCCGTATCGCCCCGTTTCGCCCCAACGTTCTCCTGCCACCCGTCTCCGGCTGGGTCTCAAACACTGTCTGTCCAGGTGCATTGAACCTGGACGCTTTTGGCTGATCCTCAAGAAACGCCTCTCCAGGCGCATTGAACATGGACTCTTCTGGCTGATCGTCCGCAAGAAACGTCTGTCCATTCGCAATCAAGCCAAAGTCAAAGCCGGAAAACGACTGGCACTGCCTGTGTCTGGGCTTGCTAATGCTCCCACCACCTGAAACGGCACCACCTGAAACAGCACCAGCGGTAGCAGCAGAGGCTCCTGGAACCCCCCTAGCCCTCCTGCTTGGGATGACAAACCGTACACCCTTCTCTTGCCCCTCCGTTTCCCCAGCACCCATTTTCTTCCTCTCCTCCTTTCCGGGTACATTGAACCTGGACTCTTTCGGCTGCCCTGGCCCTGGCGGTGGGCACGCAGAGAGAAGGATTCTAAACCGGGAAAACGCCACAGGCGTAGCGATTGGAGTACACTCCTCCTCATCCTCCTCTTCTTCCTCTTCCTCTTCCTCCTCCTCTTTCCCCTCCTCCCTTTCCCCCTCTTTTTCCATCTCCCCATCAGAAAAGCCGGAAGGAGAAAGGCTTAACGAATTCCCTACAGGAGAGGGTATAGCAGGAGTAGAGAGAGGGGTGGCGATCGGAGTGAGTCCATCGTCCTTCTCATCGTCACTCTCCTCATTGCCCTCCTCTCCCATTTCCCCTTCTCCGTTTTCCCTCTCTCCTTCCGCATCTTTTCTCTCCGGTACCCCAAAAGCACCACCCTTACTCTCCCTTTTCCCTCTCTCCTCCTGTTCCAAGTAAAAAACGCTGACCTTTTCTTGCAGACCTTTCTGACAGAGTACCCCCCTCCTCCCTCCTCCTCTTCCTCCTCCTCCTCCTCCTCCTCCTCCTCCTCCTCCTCCTCCTCCAACTGCCCTTAGCTCCGAGAATCCAGAAAAGGACGAGAAACGCCGGCCCACTTTATTACCCCAGGGAACCACCATCGGCCTTTCCAAACCTTCACTGGTGACCCTAACCGCGCCTTGCCAAAGCCCTGAGGCTTGGTCCAAACCTTGGATCTCCACACCTCCATCGCCTTCATCTCCTGAGCCTCCGCCTGCCGGGCCTCCGTCTGCTGAGCCTCGGTCTGCCGAACCTGGGAGTAACGTGCCGAACTCGAAGCTGTTGTTATGAGTCAAGTGGCTTGTAGGGCGAGGTGCCTCGTTGTTAGCAGCAACAGTAGTTGCAGGAGCAACAGAAGAAGCAGCAGAATGAGCAGCAGTGTTCCCACCAGAAACCGCAGAAGTAGTCGCAGCAGCAGCAGCAGCAGCAGCATCAGCACCAAAAACGTCTCTTGTAGCAGCGCCTGTAATGGTGCTGATGTCTGTAGCAGCACCTGTAACAGCTCCAGAAAGAGAATCAAAAGCGAAGCTGCACCTGCTGCCTCTTTGTTCCCCCCTTCCCCTTCCGTTTCCTTCCTTGCCCCACCTTCCTCCTTCCTCCTCTCTTCCCTCCTCTCTTCCCTCCTCTCTTCCATCCTCTCTTCCCTTCTCTCTTCCCTTCTCTCTCACTGCACTGAACCAGCTCGAATCCGGACTCGCCAATTCTGTTCCACTCCCTACCTCCCTTTCATCCTCACTAGAAAACTCCCCACTATCACCACAACCACCTCTCTCCAAAACACCAACATCAGAAACACTCTTAGGAATCTCGATACACCCCTTTTGTGTATCAAGACCCATCCCAACACCTGCACACCCCCCACTCCCATCCATCCTCATCTCTTGTCCACCCATCCTTGCCTTACCAGACATCTCAGAACCCGTCCCACTCTCACACTCACTCACCCCTACCGCTTGCACACCCATCCTTGCAACGTGAGAGGACTCAAAGCCCACTCCAACCCCATCCAGGCTCAACTTTCGTCTGCCCTTCCATGCCTTTTGGAACAGCGTCTCACGATTGCTGCTGCCCTTCTTGCTGCTAATATAATCGCTGCTGCTAGAATTGCTGGTGACGCTAGTGCTGCTGCTGCTGCTGCTGCTCTTGCTGCCCATACTACTGCCGCTGCTGTTAGAATTGCTGGTGCTGCTGCTCCTGCTGCTGCTGCTAGAATTGCTGCTGCCTGTGCTGCTGCTAGCATTGCTGGTGCCGCCAGTGTTGCGGTTGGTGCCGACAGTGCTGCTGCGTAAGGAGGTGGTGATGAGGGGAAGGTTCTTAGGCTGACTGCCGTTGGTGTGTCGTCTGTTTACTTTTGCAAAAGTGGCAGCAAAAGCGGCAGAGGCAGCAGCAGCAGTAGCAGCAGCAGAAGCGGCAGAAGCATCAGCAGAAGCATCAGCGGCAGCATCAGCAGCAGCAGCAGAGAGAGGTGGGGTGGGGCTGCCAGTGGGAAAAATGGAGAGAGCACGAGCAGGCAACGAGTGGCTGGGATTTGACGCAGAGTCTGCCGTTGCAGATGGACGGTCAGATGCCCGTTGACGACCGTTCTCCGAGAAATCCTGGCCGTTGATGTTAGCAACGGGCTGTGCGTTGCTCGGGGTGTAACGACCGCTCTTGAGAGTGCGGTTACCACTGCTGCTGATGCTAGTGTGGTTACCAGCAGTATCAAAGCTAGCAGATGTGGAGGAGGAGGAGGAGGAGGAGGAGGAGGAGGAGGAGGAGGAGGAGGAGGAGGAGGAGGAGGAGGAGGAGGAGGAGGAGGAGGAGAGAGCTGAAAGGAGGGAAGGGGAGAGGGTCACATTGAGACAGGCATCGGTGACAGATTGAGCACGCCTGTGCGTTCCCCTTCCCCTTCCCCTTCCTCTTCCCCTTCCCCTGCCACTGTCAATGCCACTGCCACGGCCCCTTCCGCTGCCAGTGTTACTGTCACTGGCCCTCCTCTTTGCTTCTCCCGCTCCTCCCACTCCACACGTTACACCTGCGCCCTCTTCTCTCTCTCCCTTGCTGCTCTCTCCCCTTCCTACCCTCCCACTCTCTCCCCCTCCACCCCTCCCCCTCTCTCCCCCTCCTCCCTCCTTACTTTCTCCCCCTCCTCCCATACGCGTTTCAGTATGTTTCTGTTCCAGATGGGATGTCCCATTAGAAGTCATGATCCGGGTGCTTACACTGCCGCTATTGAGTGTGCTACTAACGGGAATGCTGCTGCTATCAGCCTTGGCAACGGGAGGGGATGGAGGGGAGAGAGCACCCGGTCGAAAGCAAGTGGAATGGGGAAGAGTGGAAAGGAGGGAGGAGTTGAGAGGGGAGGAGAGAGGGGAATCGAGAGGGGAGGCGAGAGGGGAAGAGAGAGGGGAGGAGGAGAGGCGAGATAAGGGGGAACTGTTAAGAGAGGAAGAGGTAGGGAAAGTACTGAATGTGTTCTTGGAGAATGAAGGCTTGGGAATGTGAAGCGCTCGCCGCCAATCCTTGCCCTTGCCTCTGCCACTGCTGCTAGACGCGGTGGTGTTGCTGCTGCTGCTGCTGCTGCTGCTGCTGCTGCTGCTGCTGCTGCTGCTGCTTCTGCTGCTGCTGCTGCTGCTGCTGCTGCTGCTGCTAGTGTTTGCATTGTTAGTGGTGTTGCTTCTATCATTGCTACTCCCGCTCTCACTCAGCTGGTTCATATTCCTCTCATCCTTCTCCCCTCTCACTCCCTCCGCTCTCACTCCCTCCTCCCTCACTTCCTCCTCGCTATATGAGCACTCCTCCTCATACTCACCACTGTCAACCTTATCACTATCCCCATCACTATCACCAAAGGATTTATCAAATCGTTTTGTCCCCTTTTTAAACAGCTTCCGTAGCATCCCTTTCTTCGCTTTCTCCTCACCACTGGAGTTACTTTTGACAATCCGCATCACCTTTTCGTCTTCCTCTCTCCTTCCACTCCTCCCTCCTTGCTCCTCCTCCATCCTCTCCTCCTCCCCCTCCCTGTTCCCCTTTCTCTCCTCCTCCTCCTTCTCTTCCGTTTCCTCCTTTCCCTCCTTTCCCTCCTTTCCCTCCTTCCCACTGCCCCGCAATTTAAAAGGAAATCCACCCTTTTTTACCCCAGAGCTATCCGTAACAAGTGGCTTCCCATTCCTCATCTCTTCTCCTCCCACATCCTCCTCCCTCTCCTCTTCCTTTCGTCTAAGTGTTTTACTTACCAGCCCCAACCCCCGGCCCAAACCGCTCTTTTTGAACCTCGACTTGCTCGGTTGTGGCGACCCGTACCTTTCACTAGCATCTGATCCGCTGTAAGCAGATTCACTACCGCTTTGTGGTGATCCTGGCATGTCAAAATCCATCTCTAGAAGCCATACAGGGGAAGATGAAGAGCGAGTGTGATAGACACGAGAAGGTAAGCTTCCCTTAGGCTTACCCCTCTCCCCCTCTCCTCCCCTTCTCCTCCCTCCTCCTCCTCCTCCTCCTCCTCCTCCTCCTCCTCCTCCTCCTCCTCCTCCTCCTCCTCCTCCTTCTCCTTCTCCTCCCCCTCCTCCTCCCCCTCCTCCCTCCTCTCCCAAACCAGCAGCAGCCAAGGCAGCAGCAGCGGCGCCAGGCAGCAAAGTCCCAGCCGCCTTTCTAACCATCTCTTGTGCCCCGTGCGGTTCAGAAAGTGGGACGCAAACCACACTGCTGCCTGCCACGTGGCAATCCGCAGAGCCGCCACGTGTGTGCTCCACTGACCCACGCAGTTGGCTTAGAAGCATCCCATCTTGCAGATTTTGATGAGCTGGCTGCTGAGGTGGCATGAAGGCAGCACTATGGGCGTCTTTCCAGGCTGCATGTGCACCGTTGATCATGGAGATTGTACGGCTGAGAGGTACGGGCTTCTCCCGAAAGGAAATGGAGCAAGGAAGGTCCACTGGGGGGAAGTGGGGGAAAGGGGGGAACAGGTGGGGGCGAATGGGGAAATTGGGGGGGAGGGGTGGGGAAGGGGGGTAAAAGAACGGAAGGGGAAGGGGAAGGGTCTGGAGGGGAACAAAATGGGGAGGGGGGGAAAGGGGAGTAGGGAGTCCGAATGGCCAAAGGTTGGGGGAAGGGAAAGGACAGAAAGGGTGCAAAATGAAGGACAAAAGAGCAAAGGAAGTTGCCTGATGATGTGGAGAAATATAAATTGAAAGATAAAAGGGGAAACAGCTTTACCCTATCATATACCACTGTACATTGTACAGTGGTAACATGTTTCTAGAAAGGGCTTGCCAGTTTCGTCAACTCACGCGGCGACAAGCATCCTCGAAACTTGAGCCACTCGCGAATCTCCTCCAGACGCGTCGCCATACGATCGTCGCCATTGTAGCTATCGTCGCACTCCCTCCCCCCCACCTTGGAGCTAGTAGGGACCCGCTCGTTTCTGTCACCTTCACTCGTTCGAAGACCACCTTCCGAATTTAAGTCGCTCGTTACAATCACAGTCCAGCGCGTGTGAAGGTTCGGACTAACCACCAGAAACGCCAGAAGAGCCTTCACCAAATACACCTGCCCCACTTCCGCCCACGCTCCCCCAATATCCACCACCTCCAGGGGGCCGTGTGAGCCGCCGCCCGTAACGCTTCCGCCAAAAGCGCGCTTTTCCCCTGTTCCCGCACTTAGCGAGCGCGGCGTAAAGTAGCCGTTACCGCCGCCGCCTCCGCCGCCGCATCGGTCGCTGTCGCTATCAACACTCATGCTTCTGATGCTACTAGCGGTACTAGGAGCACCGTCGATTTCGTCGATTTCGAAGCAGCGGCAGGTTTGCGGGAGGAAGCCGACGTTCCATGGAAGGTTGTGATTATAATGAGATGGGAGATCGTTCACACCGCGGATTCGCAGCGGATGATGCGGAGGCTCCGCTACCGCCAGCTCCACCTGCGCCCACGTGCCGCGCGGAACGGCGCAAACCATGCGGAAAAAATCGCCGCCGTCATCCGCGGGTGGTGCGGAAGCAGCGGAGGGGGCGGCGGAGGAGCTATTCAAAACCGCGGAGCCGCCTGCGTCCGCTGCTGCGCGAAGTGCGGGGAAGAGAGTAACTCTTGCTGAATTCAAGATACTTTTGTCTATTCTCGGCGTTTTACCATCTTGACTTCTATCGAACCCTCTTTGCGCCGTCGTCAAAGTGGCGGCATTGGCAGCGTCGGCGGCGGCAGCGGCGGCGGCGGAGGAGGAGAGGCGCAGCGGGACCTGGTGCCATGGGGAAAGGGGGACGACGACGAGGTCTTGCGCCGCTGCTGCTGCCGCCGGTGGCGGCGATGGCCGCGGCGAAAGCGGAGAAGCGAACCTCCCGAACTTCGACTTCGAACTACCCTTGGGAGTCTGCGGCGCGGCAAATGGCGGCGCGGCAAATGGCGGCGCTGCCGAAGCGCTGTTACCCGGCGACGGGTTTGGCGGCGGGACAGCGAGTCGCGCCCCGTTCAGGAGGAATTTTCGGTATAAGAGCGACCCGGAAGGGCCAATCTCGACCGCAGCATACTCCATGGCTCAGTCGGACCGCTAGAATGCCTGTCAGTCGACCCAATGCGTTAGTGGGCCCGCTTAGTAACTTGCCAGTCGACCCAGTGGGTCAGTGAAACTGCTTAGATTCTTCGTGGTCGTGTTTCAAGGCGAGATTTAAAAACACTTAGCTGTTTCCGGTCGTCTATTTCTTAACGAGGCCCCTATACAGCGTACTGCGTGACGACTCTGTCAGAATGGGAAGGACTTGGCTGCTTAATCACAAGTTTTAATCGTCTCGGAATTCGATTGCACATCTAGCCGAAAAACGTGTCAGCCGTAGTCAACAGACGAAAACGGCCCGCTGCAATTGAGCTGGTCTGGGCGTTTGACAAATGCGGCTCAGGTTAACTCAAGTTAGCTTAGTTTGCATACCTAGATGCTTCAATGCTACTCAATACTCTTAGGGCGTATCCCCGTTCCGTTCACTTGCTATAAGGAAAATTCCTTTTCCTTACTTCGCATCCCCGCTCAACGCGTACATCACTGTAGCACCTCAGTCAGCACCGTTACCACTCGCATCAATAATCCGCCCGCCATTTTTCGCATGTCGCACTCCGACCTCACGGCTCGGGGGTAACCCGCGCTCCGGACCTCCGCCTCGACACTTTTCCCAACCTCAGTCCTAGGCCCGTCGCGCGACAACCACAGACCATTACCGTTACCACTATAGTTTCGCTATATAATCCTTCGCTCATGCCTTCGCTCATTGTACTCTTGTTTCGATAGTGCAATCTTCGTTCGCTCACTCCATTGCACCCGTAACACTTGGTATTCAGAGCCTACGATCTCTTCTCGGACCGCATTCACACCTTCGTTTCCCCACTATCTCAATTTTTTGGGGGGGGTAGACGTCTCTCAGCGATCAAGCACCGCCGCTCGTAGTGCTCTCTCGTAAGCACGCACGGCCACGACAGAGGCTCTCGCTGCGCTTGACCGACACCCCCGCCATGGCTGAATTTACGCTCGCGACGTTGACGCAAGAGCAGCTTGACCGTCTGATCCGTCAAGTTGAAGATTCAGCACTCGAGATTGCGACGCTCACGGCAGAACGTGACTCCGCGCGTCAGCAATCTGCGGCGAATGCTCCAGCGTCACAAATTGCACCTGCACAGTCAGACGAGCCGATTGTCATCTCGTCCGGCACACCAACACAGCACGACAGCGTGGGACAGCGCTCAGGCGCAGCCAGTGACAGCGCCGCCCAGCCAATGCCTGGTATGGGAGGAAACCGGGCCGCACCAAGCCCACGGGAGCCTCGTGAAGCCCGTCGGCACATGGAGTTTGCGGCAACAAGAGGCGACCAGGCAATCATGGCGCCGATGCCACTCAAGCCGCAGCGCCCGCCCTGTTTCGACCCGAGCCAGCGTGGTGGTCCGACGGTTCAGTCGTGGATCTTCACGATGAACGTGTTTTTTGACGCGAACTACGTCGAGTCGGACGCAGCGAAGATACGATACGCCGTCTCGCTGTTGAGGGGCCCCGCTATGGACTGGTGGCGAGTCATCGTGACGTCGCCACGCGCCTACGAGCCACCGCCGCAAGAGGAAGGGCCCGCGGGCCCAGCAGTCAACTGGATTTCATTCTGCGAAACCGCCCAATACAGCACGTGGGATGCGTGGTGCGTAGGGCTTCGGGCGCGCTTCGAGCCGATCGCGGCTTCTATTTCGGCGCGTCAGAAACTGCGCACTTGGCGGCAGCTCGGGTCGGTTCAAGACTATACGAGCGGTTTTCTCGCATTATGCGAGCAGGTCGGCTACATGCACGAAGCGGAGCGGGTGGACCGTTACGTCGGAGGGCTAAAACCGGAAATCTCGCAGGAAATAATGCTACGCGGACTCTCGAATTTCAACGAGATTCTCGCGATCGCCGAGAAAATCGACATTTTGCGCCGTCCGAGACCGGGGTCCTACTACGGACATCGTCCTCGAGGACCGATCGAGCACGCCACCGTACACGCCGTTGTGACGAATGCAGCTGCCGCACCATTCAAGGGGCGCTGCTTCGCTTGCAACAGGCCGGGCCATCGTAAAAGTGAGTGTCCAGAGGAGCTAAGGCGCCGCGGAGCAGAGCAAGGGAGGGAGTCTCAGAGGCAGGGAAACGCCAGCAGTCAGTAGAAATTGGGCCGACTACTGACGAGACTGCCTGCTCGCCCAACCACACCGACCCTCACCGAGTCACAGTACCGATCCACGCTATCGATCGGGCTCGGATGAATAAGGAGGGTACAGCGACGGATTGCCCAGTACTGATCCACGGGAAAATACAGGGAGCAGCAGTCAAGATTTTTATCGACGGAGGAGCTAGTCACAGTTTAGTTAATACCGCAACCGCACGGAAACTTCAACAGACACTTAGCCGGTGCTTACCTGAGGTTGATGCACGCTTAGTCGACGGCACACCGCTGGCCATACGGGAGAAGGTGGAGAGAGTAAAAGTTCGCTGCGGAGGGAACTTCGGGTTTACACAAGAAATGCTCGCGACGACACTGGATGGGCACGACATTTTACTAGGACGTGATTGGTTGCGACGTTACAACCCGAGAATCGACTGGACGACAGGCAGCTGCACCGTGCGAAGTAGTGGTAACTGGGTCGAACTACCACGCTGGCAGTCGCCTGAGTCGTCGACGGTCCACGTCAACGCCATAACAATGAAACGGGCAGTCGTCGCTGGAGCTGACGTGTATGCAGTGGACATCGCAGTGGTAGGAGAAGCTGAGCAGCCGAGTGATTTTCAGAAACTGCTGACAGCGGTACCGCCTGAACTACAGGAGCTATTGAAACGGTACCCGGGGATTTTCCTCGACGACTTACCGGAAGGACTGCCACCTCAGCGGGCGACCGACCATAGGATAGAGTTAGAGCCGGGGGCACAGCCAACTGTACAGCGCCAGTTCAGACTGACACAGCCGGAGCTCGACGAACTGAGGAAGCAGTTAGATTACCTGTTTGCGAAGGAGTTTATCCGACCGAGCTCGTCCCCGTTCGCCGCACCGATACTATTCACACCAAAAAAAGATGGAGGGTTTCGCATGTGCATCGATTACCGAGCGCTCAACAGGGTTACAGTGAAGTCACGATACCCCATTCCCCGCGCCGACGAACTGATCGACCAGCTGCGAACAGCACGGGTGTTCTCGAAGATAGATTTACGGGGAGGTTACCACCAGATTAGAGTCGAACCATCGGACTGCGCCAAGACAGCTTTTAGGACTAGGTACGGGTCGTTCGAGTATACCGTGATGCCTTTCGGGCTGACCAACGCACCTGCAACATTCCAGATGACCATGAACGAGGCGTTTAGACCACTTTTAGATAAGTGTGTGATAGTCTACCTCGACGACATTCTCGTCTACAGCCGCGATAAGCAGCAGCATTTAGCGGACCTGGAAGCAGTGTTTAAAATTTTAGAGGAGCATCGGTTATTGACCAAGGGGTCTAAGTGCGAGTTCTTTCAGGATCGGTTAGAATTTTTGGGGCACGTTATTTCGGAGGCTGGGGTTGAGATTGACCCGAAGAAGCTGGATACGGTCAAAGCTTGGCACCCCCCGACAAACATCACGGAGCTGCAGAGCTTTTTGGGTTTTGTTAATTACGTCCGTCGGTTCGTCCCCAACATGGCACGCTTAACTGCCCCACTGACGGATCTACTACGGAAAGGGGTCGTTTTTACGTGGGGGGAGAAAGAGCATGCTGCCTTCTCTACCCTGAAAAATGTTCTCTGTTCACCGCCTGTCCTGCGCATTGCCGACCCACACCGCCCATTCGAAGTCATTACCGACGCAAGCGACATCGCCATCGGAGCCGTACTGCTACAGGATTTCGGGAACGGCCTACAGCCTATCGCATACGAATCACGAAAGCTGCACCCACCTGAGAAGAACTACCCGATACACGATCGCGAAATGCTTGCGATCGTGCATGCGTTCAAAGTGTGGCGCTGTTACTTGACCGGCGCAGACGTGACAGTACGGACAGACCACCGATCACTACAGTATCTCCGCGCACAACCCCACCTCAACCCACGACAGATCCGCTGGCTCGACTTTCTAGAGTCGAATTTCCATTACACGGTCACCTACAAAAAGGGAGCGTCCAACATTGCCGACGCACTGACCCGCCCCACTGCCCAAATCCACGCAATACTACTCGCCCAGACTAGCCCACTACTGACAGGACTATTTACCCACGGATATCAAACAGACCCATTCTTCACCGGAGGCAATTCGCAGCAGTTCGCAGCAGCACGAGGGGTCTATTACGTAAAAACCGGGATCGACCGCATTTGGGTACCCGGGTATACACTACTACGGGAATTACTGTTACAGGAGGCACACGACGGAGTTACCTCGGGACATTTTGGGGTAGAAAAAACACGGCAGCAGCTGCAGCGGTATTATTACTGGCCAGAAATGTTGACCGACATCCAACGACACGTGGCGTCGTGTCCCACCTGCCAGGTTATGAAATCATCATGGAAGCGGCCGGCAGGACAGTTGCAGCCGATTCCACCCCCAGAGTGTGCTTGGCAGCAGGTGACGATGGATTTCGTCACGGGGTTACCGGCCGGGGCGAGTGGGAACGACGCGATCCTGGTCGTCGTCGATCGACTGACGAAAATGGCACATTTCGCAGCTTGCAAGAAATCAATCACAGCCGAAGAAACAGCACGCCTCTTCATCACCACCGTTGTTCGCCTCCACGGGATACCATCGGCAATTATCAGCGACCGCGACACGAAATTCACCAGCAACTTCTGGCGGAACCTGTGGCAGCAGTTTGGCACGCGACTACAGTTCAGTTCTTCGTACCACCCCGAAACGGACGGACAGACAGAACGGACAAACCAGACCATGGAGCAGCTCATCCGGGCCACGTGCGACGACCCGAACACGTGGGAACAGCAACTACCACTCATTGAATTCGCGTACAACAATTCGCCCTCCGCCACGACCCAACAGTCACCGTTTTACCTGAACTACGGACAGGACCCAACAGTACCCATGACCCCAAATCCCGACAATCCAGTCCCACGCGCACAACAGTTCGCTGAGATTTTGCAAGCAGCAGGGACCAGGGCAACAGACGCAATTAAAAAAGCCAACATCATCGCTAAGCGCAACGCCGATCGCCACCGCCGACCTGTCACTTACCAGCCAGACGACCTAGTACTACTCGATACTCAGAACCTCCGCTTGCCCATCACTCCAAAACTTCGCCCCCGATATTGTGGGCCATTTCGCATCAGCCACATGATCACACCCGTCACCGCCCACCTCCTCCTCCCTGCTGACTGGTACGTCAGCCCGTCATTCCACGTCAGCCTACTTGTCCCTTACATCCCATCTACAAGCCAACTGCCACGAAATCGCCCAGCCAGCATGACACGCCCCCCAACCGAACCAATCATCACCCTTGAAAAAATCCTCAGCCACCGAGTCCGCGACCCTCGGGGAGCCCGAAGGATCGAGTTCCTAATTCGCTGGAAGGACCGAACGCCCACAGAAGACAACTGGGTCCCCCTGGATAAAATCGAGAACTACCCTGTCTTCACCGAGTACCTGCGAAGCCGAAATTTCCGCGACGTCCATGCGCTCTCGTAAGAGGGGCCTCCTTGGGGAGGGGGGTAGTGTAAGGAAAATTCCTTTTCCTTACTTCGCATCCCCGCTCAACGCGTACATCACTGTAGCACCTCAGTCAGCACCGTTACCACTCGCATCAATAATCCGCCCGCCATTTTTCGCATGTCGCACTCCGACCTCACGGCTCGGGGGTAACCCGCGCTCCGGACCTCCGCCTCGACACTTTTCCCAACCTCAGTCCCAGGCCCGTCGCGCGACAACCACAGTCCATTACCGTTACCACTATAGTTTCGCTATATAATCCTTCGCTCATGCCTTCGCTCATTGTACTCTTGTTTCGATAGTGCAATCTTCGTTCGCTCACTCCATTGCACCCGTAACACTTGCACTGTTTGGGGCGTCCGCGAATTGCGCATGCCCCAAACAACATAGAACACCACTTTGGGGTCAACATCATTGTGCGACCCGCACTAAGGCGGGGGGGTGTCCCCGCCAAAATTTCACGGCCCCACGACTGTCGCATCCAATTGGGTCGTGCCATCACATCACACACGTACTCAACCACCGGCCGAGGCGACAATCACCCCACCCACCTCGCCGTCAACATTCCCGGCGGGAAAAGTCACATTCAGATCTGCGCGGCTCCCCAACCCACCAGAACCACCCTCATCTGCTGCAAATTTCCCTTTGATGGTTTAGTCATCAGCGTCCTCACAAAGAAGAACATCAGCGAGATCTAAAACACAGTGGGTCCTCCTACTAGGTAGCACTCACACCCTAGCACACCGGCACCGCCGAGCCATGCCTCCACGACGAAGCGCCCGCAGCAAAGGGGAAGGAGAAAACCCTCGACGATGAGCCGATGATTGATCCACCGTACGTAGCATGGATGAAGGAACAGAAAAAGCAGGGGAAGCCGTCTCCTTCCATCAAGCGAATAGCAAAGGCTAAACGCGATTCTGCTGGCGCCTCCACTAGCGGCAGTTCGCGGCGCGAATACGATCATGGCGCCGACACGGACGTCAGCGACGACGATCTCGAGGAGATCATGTCCGAATCCGACAGCGATGCAGACTCTGACAACTACAAGGAGTGCAGTGACGACGACGCCGAAGAAACGGACGGAGGCGAGGAGGGTAGCGGCGACGACGGCAGCAACCGTGCGCCGAGGAAGGAGAGACGCGTGCCTGCAGCGCCAAACAGGCGGCAGTGGTCCGACGCTGAGCTCACGGCACTCGCGGCCGCCCGTTGGAACACCAAGGATGATGTGATCGCGATGCAAGGGAAGCAGGGGAGTCAGTATTGGAAGAAGCTGCGTGCGCACATAGTCGAGGGGGACCCTGACTGGAACCGCGATGAGGGGCAGATGTCGAACGCCTGGAAGCGCCTGGAGAAGAAGTACCTGAAAACGAAACGTGGAGAGGGGCAGAGCGGCGGGAAAGCCATCAAGAAAAAGGCGTGGTGGGAATACATGTACAGCCTTAAAAAACATTCGGCCAAGGCCAAGCCACACGCCCTTGACGGAGGTGGCGCCGCTAACGTCGACGTCCCTGCATACGCCGCTGTGCCAGGCACCAACGATCGTGAGACCAACAGCCCATCATCCCTGGGACTCCAGCGTGGTTCTCGGCGTCGTGCTCCAAAACCAGGTTAGAACACCCTTGTATCAAGCACTTCTGCTATTCTTGTTTGGCTATCAAAGCGCATGTATTCATATTGAATTTAATAACACACATAACATCACGGCCGCCTTATTACCATCTATGCCTACGCCCACCCCTACAAACACTGGTGTCACAACGCCGACCAAACGAAGAAGAGTAGAAGAAACAGCGACTATGGCGGCAGCCAGGGTGGTGAGCGAAGCCATAAACGCTACCAATGCGCACGTGGTGCGCCAGCTGCAAGACTCCACTCAGTTGCTTGTCGCGGCTATGAACATGGCCGCGACTCAAGCTGGCGTGCGGCTGCAAATGGCCAGTCCGGTGGTACAGCATGTGGCCCCCGAGCCCACGGCGCCTCCAGCACCGCTAGATGTGACTTTGGACGCCAACATGTCGGGGTCTGAGGAGGCAGCACAGCAGCATGAGCATTAGCGCGCCGAGCTCGACGCACGGTGACGCCTGAGGTAAGCCCTGTGGATGTGCTTGCCGAAGTGGTGTCGGCGTCGACGCAAATCTGCGAGCGTTGGGTTGTCCAGGGGCTGCCACTGATAGCGATCCATGCCGCTCTTGGTCCACCAGCCGTTCGGGAGCCCCGCCCATACATAGTGGCGGGGGTTGTGTGTTTTCATCCTTGGAGTACTAACGGTCTGCAGCATGTTGTGCAGGATGATGATGCTGGCCGATCCTGCACACACGCGCCACAGCTTGCTCTCGTGCCTGTGCGAGAAGAGTCTCCAGCGACCCTTCAGTGCGCCGATCGTGCGCTCAACAACCATCCATGTCGCCGACTGGACGTAGTTGTACGTCTGCTCCCACTTCTTCATAAGGCGACGGCGTGGTGCGTGCAGGGGAGTGAGCATGTACGACTTCAAAGGGTATGCCGCATCTCCCACAAGGTGGTAGGGGGCGATTTCCCCACTCTCTAGCCTGCCATGTAGGTCTGATGTGGAGAAACAACCTTGATCATGCATAGAGCCCGGATTGCCTACCGTGTAGTCCCATATCACTCCCTTGGAGTCACAAGTAATCTAGAGTTGAACACTGTAATTTGACTTCCTATTGTAATAGTCCCCTCGGTGACCTTCCATGCCGCGTATATCAACATGGGTCCCATCAATCGCCCCGATTACGTTGGGCACACCTTTGATGGCCTTGAAGTCCAGCGCCATCTCTTCGCGCAGCTCGACAGGAGGGAATTGCACCCAATCACGCTTGAACTTGCGCGGGAACCAGATCAGGAAGGCATCCACGAGGCGGTGGATGAGAGTGCTTGGGAGCCCAAACATGAGAGCCATGTCGTGGTAGGTCATGGCGGTTGCAAAATACTTTATGGGGATTAGACAGCATAAACACAGTGGGACTTCGTTCACTTCCACAAAGCGAGACATTGGGTGTGCCATTTTGTCGGCGATGAGGTCAAGTACTTCCCGAGTGATGCGGAAAGTGTCTTCGAACTCCTCGTTGAACATGGCGCGTATCTCCTCCACCCAACATGCGACCCGTTCCTGACGGCGCCGTTTCCGACGTTCGAGGCGGGCGGTTGCTCGGCGCACGCGCTCCTGGTCCTCTGCCTGCGACATTGGTAGGATTGTAGTAATCCACTCTATAGCAGCTAAAGACACTACACGTTGCCAGGTTTTGAGAAGGTATTCATGCCATAGATGTAAGGCCACACAGAGTATGATCACGGGCGCGGTGATCATGGTTTATGGCCACCTGCTAGGTGACGAGTGAGCTGCTCGCATTCGAATAAGATCGTGGGACACGAGCATTACGGGGCCGCGTCTATGCTGAGACCGTATTTTCAGCCAGGCACTTTGCCGTGGAGCCGCCTGTGCTTGTATACGGCCTATTAGGTTCGTTGCGGCGTGCTACCTGGGGTCGTCTCGTGAAACACATCACCCTCTAGTCAAAAGTTGGTTTTATGGTGGGATGCCAACTTCAGTGGTGTAGGTGAGACATTGACGGGCGTGAGTACACTGAACATGTCCGTCTACCGAATGTCTCACAAATTGGGGTCGCACGACACTGTGATTGGTGGGGGTTACAGGTTGGATGACGGTCGCATGAAGTTTCAGGGATGACCCGAACATCGAACCGCGCGCGCCTCCGCCAACTACTTTGGGTCATCCGCGCATTGCGGATGACCCAAACAGTTGAATGAACAGTACAAGTGAACGGAACCAGGGATACGCCCTTAGCAGCCGCTTCCAACACCAGCTAAAACAAAGCCTGAGAGTGGAGCGGAAGGCTATGCACGTAAGCAATATCGCAAGAATGAATGCACCAGCATGAAAAAGCGAGTGTGTTTTGCTCGTTTGAATGCGGCTCAATGAGATGTTTCACGTTGTAAAACTTGCGAATCAATGTTGAGTGGTCGATGGGTGTATTGAGCCGCCCGTGATGCACGTCGTGTCGTGAGTAGTAAAAGCGGAAAGATATAGACAATGTTAGGGCGCGGGTTTTGGGCGAACTTGCACGCGTTTCAGTGTTTTCGAACATGAACATGCAAAAACACATAATATCGGCACCCTTTGTCAGGTGCACCAAGACTGGTTTTTTGGGGAACCCGAACTCCTACCAACCGTGCGACCGAAATGAGGTCGCACGTAAACTGTAGACGTCGCATAGCCAATCATATGGCTTCGTCTAGGCATCGTAACTATTCTGTTACCGTCGCTAGTGTTTCGTTTTTTTCGCAACTGGAGTTTACCTTTTGGGGTGGTGCACTTCCCTGTCAAGATCGAGCATTTGACGGGGAATTCCGCGGTATCGTTTGCCCGCGTTTGGGGTGCTGTGGCGTTCAAGTTCGCATGCAAAACACGAGCGTGGTGCACTTCTCGAGCAGTAACACTGTTCAGTCAAGACAAAACTCAGTTGAGTAAACGCCAAACGCACAGTAACCCGAACTTCACCAAAATTTCGGATTTGGATCGATCATCTTTAGCATTTTCGATTAAGTGCAGCACGCCCTTACAGCGGAGTCGACGGATAGAGGGCGTGTGCGTGTGGGGGGTGATAAGGGACCACAGTTGAATAAAACCAAACGTCGCCATTGCACCAAAGCCGTGTTGGAGAATCGAGTCTCTGCCGCCCCAGCCCTTTGCACACAAGGAGCGGCGACGGATTGAAGGCTTCGCGAAAATTCAGAAACTTCCGCAGCAAATCAGATTGCAGCCGAAGACTCGATACAGTTCGGGATTGCTCTCAAACAGAAGGGTCGACAGTTTCTACAGGTTTCTACAAAACAGAATCAGCTATAACAGTACATTCCAGAGATTTCTTATTCATGCACCTCATGTGGCTCTCAAGTCACTCAAGGTTCATGGAATCTGAATTGTGCCCAAGTTCCCAAGAAAGTTGCCTTGTCTAGCAGCCTAGTTTGAGCTATCAATCTGCATGTTTGTAATGCTTAAGAAGTTGTGCTTTAGTGGGCCTGTTAATCTTGATCATAGTGAAGTTTTCTCTCATCAAGCCAAGTCCAGCAGCTCTGTTGAGCTTTTCCAACCAAGTTTCCAGCCTACCAGTCATCAAAGCTACTCTGTTTTGCAAGTTGGTATCAGAGCCCGTCGTTTCGATCAACCGAGCGCCACCACCTTCCTATCCTAGCACAATCCATCCATGGCGGGAGACAACCCATCTGGCCCTGCACTCCAGCCAGCCGGAGGAGCTTCAGAGTCAACATCAGGAGCTACTGGATTAGTGGAAGCAGTTGCACTAGGCAGTTCTTCAACTACATACTCACCACTCACCTCCTTCATGCCTAAGCTTCACCTCCCCAAGTTCAACGGCAAAGATTTTCCAACATGGGCAACTCAGTTTGAGCTCACTGCATCCCTTCTGGATCTCTGGCCTTACTACGCTGGAGAAGCAGCCAAACCAGCAGCAGGTGCTTCAGAAGCTGAAAAACGACTCTACGAACGGCGCAACAAGGAGGCCTTCCTCTACCTACTCAATAGCATTCACGAGCAGCAGTTGAAGTCGCTCCTACCCTGCTCTGCAAAGGCAAACAGCGCAGAGGAAGCATGGAGCCGACTGAAGTCTATGCACCAGTCAAAATCCGAGAGCAGCCAGGCCGAGATGTGGAGCCGCTTCATGAGTCTCAAGATGGAAGAAGAAGAACCAGCCCAAACCTACCTTCAACGAGCTGAAACGATGCTAGAGGAAGCAGCCGCGATCGGCTTGGAGATTCCAGAGTCTCTTTTCAAGACCGTCATCCTCACCGGCCTTACACCGGAGTGGGACACTTTCCGTGCAACACTACAAGCACTTCCGCAATCAATGAAGACCCGTGCGTTCATCTTTGAAGCCCTTGTCAACGAGCAGCAAAGTCGAGACCTTGCACGAAACAAGCGGAGTGATGAGGGTGCGTGGAGTGCTGCAGCAGCTACAAGATATGGCAACCAATCCCAGAGGCAAGGAAATTTCAGCCCAAACCGCCCTCAACCTTACTATGGTACGAATTTTCAGTCACCTTCCAACCCATACAAACCCTCTCGTTTTGCTCAGTCAAGTCCTCCCTATAAGTCAAGTCCCTATGTCCAGCCAAGGCCTTCTATTCCCAATCAATATCAGCCTAGGAATGCACGAGTCTATACGCCAAGAGTAAATAATTTCAGCCAAGCCTCAAATGCTAAAAAGTTTAATTTCGAGTGTTTTTGTTGTCATGAGTGGGGTCATCCGTGGTATGCTTGTCCTAAGAAGCCTCCTAATTGGGTTCCCCCGCCTCAGCTACTATCCGAAAAGGGTAAGGCAGCCATAGCAAACATGGCAAGTCATTCTACAAGTCAAAATGAGTCCAGAGATTCTGAAGGTCCTGTCCTTTTCAACGCCGCCACTTGCATGCACGTTTTTTCTACTAGTAGTGAGGAGTTTATCCTTGATAGTGGCTGTTCTGAAACCATGACTCCCTATCAGTCCATTCTCAAGGATTTTCAGCCCTCATATGACTCAAAAGCTGTGACACTTGCTGATCTTGGCAAAGTACCTA